TTTGCTCATATATATTGCCATTGAATGAAAAGTATGTGGTACTTACTGTAAAGTTGATTGGTCGTTTTAACGACTACTTCCGTATCCGCTCTGCTTCCAGGATATCCTCCTCTCATTCCAAAACCTCCAGCAAGGCGGTGACTTCCTTCGAGTCTTAGATGTTCATGTACATTGATTGTATGTCAAAACTTTCCAACATTTCCGTTGTTGCCAGTCGAATATTTTGGTTCCTTTGAGAAAATGCATATAAATTCTAAACCGTGTTCAAGAGCCTGTCGTTTTCTTTTTTAAGCTTTAAGCATATAAATTTCGCTAGTTTCTGTGTTGCTCCGTGCTTGTTGTTGACTATTAACCCTAGTGGTTTTCCTTCCTTGTGTATCTTCGGTAGTCCTTAGGTTGTCGCTGGTCTTGCGCCATTTTTTATTAACGAATCATTATGTATCTTCTTTAACATTTCCTTCAGTATTCCGTTGATCTTCATTTTGGGATCCTTTCTTACTATTTGATAGGTGTTCTGGTTGCCTAGGCTACTTTCCATTTTTCCGTGTACTGTTACCTGTCAATTATCTCCGTCGCACCTCCCTTATCCGCCTGAATTACTATTTGGTCATTCATTTGTAATTTTCTGCGTATCTTCATCAATACACTTCTTTTCATTGGCTCTTGATGGGATAGAATTATCGGGATTTCATTTCCATCTCCCATTTGGTCTCTTCTGGATATTTCTTTGAGATGTTAATAACTTCTACAACGATATCTAAAATATTCACTTCGTTACCAAGTGACAGATTTTACTCCTTCAGAAAATCTACTGTCTCGGAAACTAATGGACTGAGAATATGTTCGTTACCTTATCCCCAACGTCCTTGGGAGGAGTTGATGCCGTTAATACCGGATCATCATGATTTGGTCCGGTTTGCTAAATTCTGTGCTGTCTTATTATCCCATATATATGCAGTTTTATGTCATGTCGCTTATTTATCAAATCCCGTACCCTCTGTGACTTCTATACAGCGAAATGAGACTGCGACAATACAAAAGGCCACACCTTCCTGATCTTCATACCTTCAATTAAATTAAACTCTTTTATGGGCATTTAACTATGCCACATTATTAATTAAATTAACTCCTGAAATTCCTTCATGTTACTTCTGAATAAACTTATTGTTTTGCCTTACTACCTTACCGTTACCTATAAGTTTTCTATAATTTTTTTTCCTCTTTAGATATTGCAATTGCATATAGCCGATATTAATCCCCTGCTTAAATAGTGGCAGTGGAACACATACATTCCGAATTAGTATTACATTTTAGATTGCGAATTTACGATATTTTAATGGCTGGAATTATCATCTAACCTTTACAAACGTCTAGGAAAAATCTAGCTCTCATTTAGACATCGTATTTTTTTGAATTAGTACTAAGTTAAAACTTTTTATTTCAACTCAACTACATATATGTTTTTATTCTGTTTTTTTCTATCATTGGATAACTCACAAAAAACAAGGCAAAATCAGATCGTATTTTCTCTTGTTGCTTTTAGTAATCTATATAGTCTTCCGATTTGCCCTATTATTTTGGCCATCCTTGTTATTTTATTATCTGGTGTAGCTCCATCCGACCTTACTTTATCGTCGACAACCCCCCTACCTCTTTGCGACACTATTCGCCCCACTGCTAAATCCCACTTGACTGAGCCGCCTGCTTCAGTCAACTTTTGTGACCAAATTCAATCTTTTGGCCTCCAACCTTCAGCAAATGGGGTGGCCACTCTTCAATTCTCTTCATCATCATCATCGGTACCCACAAACTCATCTCAGGGCGGTTCAAAAGTTATGAAGACGGCTAACGATGCAATTGAAGATAGGCCTTCCGAAACTTCGCCATTATTCAAACAAGCTGGCCCACTTGCGGTATCTAGCATCAGCTTACTTCACTGTCTATCACAGCAGTTCGGTTCGCCGGAGCCAATACAAGATCTAATTTGTCAACACTGTCATAATGGACGGACCAATACAGTGGGATCCAAACGTCTTGGCACCTCATTGACCTCCATTTCTCATCGTTCTACTCATATGAGAACGGATTCTTCCGAGTTTCCCATTAAATTGTCTCCACTTGTAACTGATCCACAGTCTTTATATTTGAATGACGCAGAATCTTACACTAAAATTGAGGCAAGCCAGACTTTTCCCGAATCCATTCTCGATCTCCATTTATCCCTTGATCCTAACTTCCTAGCAGAGGTCACTGAAGACATCTATACTCCACAACCAAAAAGGCCTTCAGATTCTCCGTTGAATTTGGCAGCTCATTTACACTCAAGTTGCTATCTGGAACACTGGATTTCGCACCTACCGCCTTGCATGGTGCTACATATCCAGCGCACCAAATGGCATCCCTCATCCGCCTCTTGGGACCCTCCAACATATGACCTGTCCAGCCCATATGCAGCCAGTATACCTGATAAAAATCTGGGCGCTTATCCTTTTTTGTTTGACCGTTCAGGCGGTAAGCATGAGCCAAATCGTCACACTCCTGAGCTTTTTGGTCATGGGGCAAAGCGGCATGAGCACCTCGAATTTCCGCTGTATCTCGACATGTCCTCTTATATGTTGGCCTCTCGACCTTGGCCAGGTAGCAAAACTGATATCACCTCGTCTAACACTGGAGATAATTCTACCATCTCTTCATCGGGCTTGCCATATAACCAGCCCTCTAATGCTAACTCCCAACAGCCCAGGCCTACCAGGTAGACATCTTGTCTGAGATAGATCCCTTTTTTTGTTTATTTCTGTTAATACATTATCATTTCCCATATATAGGTTTGATTTATGGCATTTTAGGCAATTGAATGAGCGAGAATTAATTCTCGGATTTGCTGCTCTCTTACTTCGTAGTCTATATGCTAGTTAAAGCTGTGATTATTTTCTCTATTTAATGCTCTAGATTTTTTATATTTGCCGTATATTATTTTGATTAAATGCCTTGTGGTCTCTGGCTTCAATTTGTCAAATTTTCTGCCACACAATAGATGTGATAAAGATGGTATTAGTAGTCACATTAGAGAGCTTCAATTTTGTTGAATACATGCTTGGCCATTTTTTTCTAATTTAAGATTTATAGAGTATAGTTTTAACGAATTTGGGATTTTACTGAACTTTGTAGCTACAATTTTTTGTTACTCAGGCCTTCGCATCGATACGTTCTTCGTTCTCTGATCGTACACCAGGGTCATGTGCTTCAGGCCGGTCACTATATTGCTTATCGTGCCTGGCGGCGACCCAATGTCCTCTTAAGTAATGCCTCCGCATCGAGCAGCCAAGCTGATCAACGGGCTCGATTCCACAGTCTTACCGCCAATTGGCGACGCCACCACTGGCCTCAAATGTCTACACTCACCTCGTCACATCAATCCGTAGACTCTATGATTTCAACCAACAAACGGAAGTTGAAATCATCCGAATTCATCTTTTCCGATACTCCTTATGAAACCACCGCTCACCGGTCAGCACCATTCACTTGGCTTTTGGCCTCTGACACGTGTCTCATGCAAGCTTCACCGACTGAAGTCTTTTCAAGCCAGGCCTATTTGCTCTTTTACGAACGTGAGGATGCTGCTCCACACCTTGGTCCGGGCGCAAGCAGATGCAAGCGGCAAGCAGATCACTGCTTAGTTGCTCCTCCGTCATTAATATGTTCCTCCCACCAAAACTGCATAAAATCTAGAGATTTAAAGGTACCACCACTCGCCACTTTAATTGGCACAAACTACGACTTGGAGAATAAAACGCAATTATTTTCGTCGGCTGAAATGATTGTCTCTGAGTCTAAATTAGAATCTTTTGAGCTGCCTCTTATGGAAAAATATAGAATAGGTAAATACGAGGAAGAGAACGAAGAAAGTGGTGTGGATGAAGAATATGATGAAAATCTTCCTGAGGTTGAACATGACACACTTGACCTTGAACGGTTACGCAACGCCACTAAGGCTGATGTGATTCGTGCTTTGGCGCAGCTGTCTCGCAGCCACAAAAAATCTTGACGTAAATTTTACCTATTTTTATTTGAATTTTGTCATTCTACCACATACATACTGTCTTTGCCTTTGCCAACATGCACACAATTGCATCTCCCAGTTATCTTTGGTCTACTTTTAGAGTCATGCTGGATCCTCGTTCTGCATCTGATTTTCACATTTTTTCATTATATAGATCACCTAACAATTCCCATATTCACCACTATCCTTAATCAAATCTGAAATCTTCTCTCATTCTTACTTCGTTAGATCATTCACCTCTCCATTCATAATGTTTTATCATCACTTCATCTTGCTGGTGTACAGCTTGTTTATATTAACTTTCGCCTAATCTAAATCATTTCTCTTTTCCAATGCCTTTAGATTCTTATGGATTTCTTACACCTTTTTTGTAGGAAATCGCTTCCACTTATCTCGCTTTTGCTCCCAACAAAATATTTTAGCGCTACTATCACCAGTCTACAAACATTTTTTATTTTATTATTTGTTATCATTTTGGATACTAATCCTATAATAACCTTGTATTTTCTATTATTATAAGTAATAGAGGTTGTAGATTTCTACTTGCAGTATTCATTTTCGTAAATGTTTATGAAAGAGAGAGTCTCTGAATAGATTGATGATGGAGTACTCTTCATTTCGTTTAAAGGGCTCCTCTCAATTTTTTACTTTTTTCCTTGCCTGTGGAAATTATTATTTTGGGGTGTACTTCGACATTAACGGCCACTCTTTCTTATTTCTGATGATGATTTGAATCTACAAGTACTTTATTAGTTGTGAACTTAATTATCTTTACTATGAAGACCAAGATGGTGTGGTCTTTTTTGTGGTCGCAGTCTCCTTCAGTTGTATATAAGACCTTGTTTTCGCAACTTGATCATATTGGTAGGAAGACTTATAGGAACGCACCTTGTCCTGAGTCCATTATATGCATAATTATTTCCAAATTCGGACCGTGGACACGGTACATTCTCAGCCATTTCGCCGGCATCGTCAGTGAGTCTCGCCATTCGTAGCACCATATTACAGTGAAGCCCATCCTTTGACCAAACGTGTACTAAACAGTTATGGTATCTCACCTGCCCTGGCCTATTCGCATTTCCTATATCCTTCTATCATGCCTTCCCTGTCACAGTTTTTACCATGCTTATTCCTAATGTAGTGTCGTGTGCCCCTTCGAGCGGCATTCATGAAAGCTTTTCACACTCCACACTCTCGTTATCACCCCCTTACTCTTGTGATGGGAATGTTGACCAGAGTCTGTCATATTGTTAGGTAGTCCTTCGCTGGGTCCTATCAAAGTCTCCCTCTTGCCCCGTCGAATCCGTCTGCTATCTCCCTGGTAAATGTATTTCACTCAACCCCTGCCCCCCCATCTGTGCTATCGACAGACTCTGGTCAACATTTCCATCACAATAGTGAAGCGGGTGATAACGACAGTGTGGAGTGTGAAGGGGTATTCATGAATGCCGCTCGAAGGGGCACACGACACTACATTATGAATAAGCATGGTTAAAACTGTGACAGGGATGGCATGATAGAAGGATATAGGAAATGTGAATAGGCCAGGGCAGAAGGTGAGACATTATAACTGTTTAGCACACGTCTGGTCAAAGGATGGGCCTCACCTGTCCACTTGACGAGTTGTAATATGGTGCTACGAATGGCGAGACTCACTGACGATGCCGGCGAAACGTTTGGGAATGTTCTGCGTCTACGGTCCA